AACATGGCCACCCTCAGATATTTCAAGAGGATTCCTTTTTTTCTTGGCAGACTGTTTTAAAACCAACTGCAGGTAGCTTCAAAAATTGCTGTAAATAACACCAACTCAAACCTGTGTCTTCTTCCATAGTTCATTTATAACAATACCCGGTAATAATAATAGATTTTAAAAGATGAAGTTAAAAGAGGGCAGTGAGTTCAATTTGAATTCAAACTGAAATCTCCCTGGTTATAAAGTAGCTTATATTAGTACAGGAGAGACAGCTGATGTGTGCGGACGGCCCTGGAGGCTGCAGGCAGCAAACTGCAGATGTGGCAGGGTGGCATGTAGCGCGAGCCGCTCCCTATGCTGGAGCCAGATGGAAAGACAGAAAGTGGTGGACCTCTGGTCAGCCACAAATATGCTGAAAATGAGACATTAAAGGATGGTTAAGGAGGCACTGTCACATTTTCCACTACATGACCCATCAGAGAGCTTTCGCCTGCGATAAAGTGTGGCATGCAAGTGAATCTTTAACACTTAATGTCACTATTTGAAGTGAACAGAGTTAAAGACGCTTGAGCGACACGATCTTAAAAAAGAGAAACTTGTTTTTAAAACACATGAAAGTCAAGCTGAAAAATTACTAAGGATGCTGCAGTGTGTGGCATTCTGTTGTCTTGCTCTGCATCAAGATTACAGCTCGCGTTATCATTTGGCAGAAACACAATGGAGGACTGGACCTTGGAATCACAGGATTTTGACACAGACAGACTCAGTGAAAGGAGCTTTTAGTTTCCATATGTGGCAGCTCAGGGCTGCCAGCCTTTGGGGCTTTTCAGAGCTTTAAAGTTGGCCATAAATGCTTTTTAGAAATTGGCTGCTTTTTGCTTGCCATGTGGTTGTCTACTACGTTGGAATAGGTGATGTATTTCACCCGTGTTTGGATATTGGCTGCCAAAAGAGTTCTTTCATCAAGCCTTTTGCTTTAAACCTCCATCAGTGACAGAAAGCTTGCAGGTCACAGTGTGGTGCGATCCTCTGGAGAACGTTGGCTTGTTTGTTGGGCCTTTTTTGATTTTCAATTTTTTTCCCCCCGCTACTGTTTATCTCTGAGTAAAGAACACACTTGGCCGATGGTACTGCTGTGGTGGTAGGATTGAGCTTTTGAAATGATAACCAATGCACATCTGGATGGACCTACAGTCCAAGAGAAAAATATACAAAGCCTTACCAAGTTTACCAAGGAATGAACATACTACCTGGTTTTAATGATGTATTTGACTCCTTCAGTGTTAAAGTAGAACATAGATTATAAACCGACAACCTCAGTCATTTTTTAAAAACAGCTGAATGTATGCTGAATTTTCTCCTATGCAAACACACTTAAAAATATTAGAAAAAAGGCTCAAATACACATCTAATCCCAGAGAGGAGGTGATAATAATTTTGTGGCCAAAGTCAGAACTGTAGATCTATGAAGGTTTTCACATCAATGTTAACACTGATTATGACACTGGGGTTTCTGCAGTTTCCAGTGTTCTCTGGGTTGTTCCTTGTTTCCTATAATCTAAAGGCCTTTCATCTAAACATACTGAATCCAGTTTTGCATCCGATCTGACAGAAAATGGCGTCAGACGAGATCATGCCGTTTAGCGCTCATTTAAAGTCAATGGGGATGATCACACGTGACACGATTTTACACAAGGGGGCTTGCGTAGGTTCCACGGAGATAGACCCCAGGACTATTTTAGTATGCAGCAGTACAGCTGGAAATTCATGACTCTGACAGAAAGAGAGATACCTTTAAAAAGTATAACACATCCGCTTTGAGGGAAAATACAAAATAAAATTTGTTAAATGCATGGGGAAACAGTAAGTTTGGGAGCTGCATGGCACATATACGTAGGACTATAGCAAGCTGGACAGACTCATGGGAAAATGATAATTGAAGCATAAAAAAATAGAATACTTTACCCATGGATAAAGTAGTGGTCCTCTCTGAGCCTCACAAAACAAATAGGGACAAAAACCTCAGTTTATCAATTGGATACATTTTTTTAATAGCTTTTCACAATCTGTCCTAGTCAAATGTGGGAATTTTTTTTAAATTTGTGTATAGCACAGAGACATAAGTGAAAAAAAATCTGCACAGATCTGCTCACCCTGCGCAGTCGGAGTTTCTCTATACCAGGGGTCTTCAACGTTTTCCAAGCCAAGGACCCCTAAACTGATGGTGAGATGGAGCGGGGACCCCTTAATTGTATATATTGTATGAAATTGTGTTATATCAAACCGATCCTATAGTCACTGTATGACATATTGAGACATGTAACGAAAGTAATTTCGCCCTGGTATTATTAGATTATTAGAATATTTCTGATTCGGATGTGCATTGATAACTGAAAGACATCTTCTGCCTCAATTTATCTGTTCAATACAGTGTGTTGAATTCATGGTAATGTGTATTTAAAGACATATTATTTATTGGAAAAAAAAATTGCACAGGGGGAATATAAAAAAAAAGTCAAATCAACAAAACTTTTGCGACAGCCATGCAGTAGCTCCGTGGACCCACTAGGGGTCACGGACCCCCTGTTGAAGACCTCCGCTCTATACACAGTATGTGTGACATGGAAAAAAATCAGATCAGAGGTTAAAAAGTCGTACGCAATTGGTGTGTTTCTATCCTTAAAGATGTTGATTTGGGCTTTCGTCCACACATTTGGCATTATATGTGCATGATGTGATCTTTTTACACACAATTTTTAGAAGTGATGATTATTATACCTGCATTTATTAAAAAAAATAAACTTCCAGAGATGTTTTCAACTTGTGTAAATCAAGCACCTTCTTCAGTAAAATGAACCTTCATGTAGCAAGGATAGAAGGAATGCAGCAAAGAATTCAATCCAGGCATCTTTAGGATGGGACTTTGAAGAGAACAGTGTGTTTTTTGTTAAAACTGCAGTATTTGCGGAATCGTGAACATTCACAAAAAAACTAAGCTTTGCATCTATATGCTGTTTTAAAAATCTTGTTTTACCTCAGCCTTTTATTCCACCATGAAAGACCCCAAACAAGAGAACATTTATGTCCGTCATAAGAACTCCAATCTTTGACTGTACCTATGTTCCGTCAAGTATTTTCGAGATAGTATTAGAAGTATTTTATAAAGTCTTAGTACTTCTTCTGTGTTACTGAAGGTTAGGATGGATGGATAGATGTATAAGGAGAATATTCCTTCTATTTTTGTTGTGGAGCAGCAGAGATGGTAAGAGACATAGCTCTCTGACCAGCTGCCAGCGGGAATATTTTCCCTCCCTGCAATAAGACAAATCCAGAACCAAAGATGTTTGCGCCATTGCTTTCGAAGAGTAGAAAACACAGATACAGAGATTAGAATCTGCATCTGTCTGTTGCTGCTTTTTGTATTGATTCCTTTTTAATTTTCTCCTTTTCATTCATTAACCTCTGTCCTATGTCCTACTCCTGCAGTTAAGGCTCTGATATGCTTTATAAAAATGTCCTTTCAGAGTAAGTCAGGTCCGCGGTCAGGGCAGAGCCGCACCGCACTCTCACGTTAATGCTGTTGTTAACAGCTTGTGGTTACGGGTGGTTTGTGTGGCTTTGCTTTTTAGCTGAAACACTCGCTGGAGGCACAGAGACACAGTGTGGAAACGCTGGATCCTAAAATGAGCAGAGTAGGACTCTATCCAGTCCTCATTCCTAAATAATCTGATTTATTTCTATTAAATAGTTGGAGCTTATCATGTTAGAAACTCAAGTTTAAACATCATTGCCATTTAAATCAAATAAACTTCATTTGTGGTGTTTTGTGCATTTATTAGATTGCTTTTTGTATCTCTACTCTTCATGAATAATTCAAAGATGAAACAGCTCTGGTTAGGTCACTGAAGATGCAGAAAACCCTTCATTTTATTCTAAGCAATATCCGATTGTTCTGTCTCCTGTGTCTTTTTTAAACATTAAAGTCAATTTGCTAAAAATCAGCGTTATTTTTTTAAACAAAGGATCTACATCAACTAAGACTGTTTTTTTCTTAATTCATGTTGATATTTGTGAGAAAGCAATTTCAGCTCAAAACCTTGAAATACTGAATAAAGATAAAACTTTCCTTCAAATACTAATCATAATACATTATTATTTTTATTGTCATTATTACAAGGTGACAAATGTGAAGACAGTGTGAATTTTTTCCAATAGATTTGCATTTTTTTTGCTTAATTATTAACCATAATAGTTGTTATTTTTATAAATAAATATTATATATTGAATATTATGGTATAATTTCTTTGATTAAATGTATGACTTATTGTATAATATTTATCATAATAAAATACATTTGATGTTTTGTATTAAAAGTCCATTATGGTCCTCCTGTCGCATACTGTCTGGCCCCCTCTCTCAGATGGTATCAAATTACATATTTGGGTCTATATGTATGAAAATGACAACAGTATGAAAAAACATGTTGATATATTTAAAATGAAAAACATATTCTCAACTAGAAATATTCTCGAGGGGCATCAACCCGAACCCCTAGTTTTAACTTCTTAAAGTTTGTCCCTCCTCTGGCCAACCCTTTACAACTCTGATATTTCCAAACTTAATAATACGTGACAGTGTCTTCAGAGAGTTGATGTCTGGTTTTGTTGCAGTATATTTAAGATTATGTTAAAAATAAGGAACTGCTGGGTATCTGCTTCCCTCAGCACATCTGGATCAGGTCTTGGTAGTTGACAATGAACATCGGGTCTTTTTCTAGCTAACTGTAATCTATATCTATGTCTATTACGTATAAAATTTGCTCTGATTCTAAATTTCTAGCTTTCCCCCTTAGCAGCTGATGTGATAAATTGACATGCTTGTATATACTTAAACTATAAATAGAGTGGAGTTGGCAGCTGGCTTTACTGTAAACAGATGACTGTAAGTGTGTATGAGTTTGTGGTTCAGGTCCGTTAAATCCACTCCGCCTGTGTCTCTCATCTCTGCAGGAGTCGGAAGATCCAGATCCGGAACATTCCCCCTCATCTGCAGTGGGAGGTCAGTTGTTTTCTATCTCTGTTTATGTGTGCATGTGTGTGAGAGACAGTGATGCCCAGTTGAACAGCAACAGGCGGCACATAAACCAATTTCCTAACGATGAGTCACCGGCCTTTGTAGTCTGGTCCTAAGTGTTTGTGAGCACGTGAGTCTGTCAGAGTACTGTTGGGATGAACCTGCATCATTGTGTCGACATCCTTAACCTTGTAGGGGTCCGAATGTTGTTGTTCTCCAGCTTTATGCCTGCAAGACTCCTATTTCTCTGCATTCAAATCTACATGCAGTTTGCAACTTACAGAGAAACTCACTTTATTGGGAATAATAACTTAAATGGCCCGAACTTCTGTAGCATCCTTTCAAGTCAGTTTTAAGCAGTTACATTACAACAGAAAAGTTGGGCTGAAAGAACTTTATGTTTTGTGCTAATAGTTGACAAAATTGATGTAGTTATGATTATTTACTTCTAGTAAAAGTTTGTTTTTAGAAAAATAAAACTGTTAAATGCAGGTCAGGATTTCTGATCAGATCTGCGTTCTCATCTGGCTGCAGCATATCTGCTCAGAGATGACAATGTGTTCCCAAGCAGGTGAAAAATGGTTGCTCAATTTTGTATTTGTAAAAAGAAAAGAAAAAGCAATGACAAGAGAAATAACAAACTCTTTAGTACCTTTATATACCTTATTTCAGCAGACTACGGTGTGAATTATAGTTCATCCATACAGACTTAAATTAGTTCTTTAGTGGTTTGAAGTTGCTTCTGTTTGACTTTGATCCCGTCTAAAAGAGTTTTAGATTAAACATAAACCGATCTAATCTTAGTTATCAGTGGAGCATTTAGACATATGTTCAACATATTGCTCACCTAATCAAAGTTATCAATTACATTCTTATTTTTTGATATATAGATTCATGCATAAATACAGAATAAACTGAACATTGTAGACATTTCATATGTTTTGCACTTACAGAACACTGAGAGTGTATGGAGCTGATGTGAACTGAATAATCAGCACAAGTGTCAACAAAATGTTTCATTCTATTAAGCCCCAGAAAAATAATAAGAGCCATTCTTTCAGCCCCCTGTTTTTACGGGTACACCTCTAAATGATGAAAATATAATTTTTGCTTTGAGGTAAAATACAAAGGCCCAGGTAGTATGTTCCTGTGCCAATTATGATTTCTGCCTTTTGAAAACTCTGGCCTGCTGATATAATTTTGGCCTAATTTCTGCCCATTTTCATAGCATAACAAACTATTAAACACTGATTTTTCTACCAAAACAGAACTATAGAATTTTAACTGTTACTGGGAATCTTAAATTTAATTTCTCCAGATTTTTGGATGAGAAAACTATACCCCCCAACCCCCTACCCAAAAAAAAAAAAAAATAATAAAATACAGTAAAACCAAATGAATCTCCACAATAAACTACATAATAGCTACTTTTGACTAGCCTTGAAATAAACACATGAACCAGATACTAGCAAAAACACTTTTTTCCAACCTGAAAATCAATCTTGGGATGGTTTGACGTATTAGAGTAAAAATAAATCTGTTGGCTCTCTTCATTCCACAGTTTTTCATCTACTTTGCATTTTTATGGTATTTAAACAAACTTTACCCAAAGTAAATAATGCTCCTGCATTTCTGTGCAGATAAGCTGCACCATCATTTCTAGCTAATTTGTGCTGCCAGTGCAGCATAACTTAGAAATAACATATATACCACCACATGAGCCCCTTCTATTGATTTAAATGAAGGATGCTCTAATGTTGCAGCAGTGACCTGATATTAATATAGGATCATCCCATGCTAATTTATTATTAACATTTTTGTAGCTTGAAATGGCTAAAACAGCACCAGGACTGGATTCATTTGCTAATTAAGTTAATGTTTAATTATTTCATTTTTTTTTTCACTTGTTAACCTGAAAACTGGGCAAAGTTGGCCTTCACCCTTGGCTGTACTTAGCAGTTTGATAAGCTTAAATGAGAGTAATCAGAGTAAATTAACATGCTGTTGGTACTGAATAAGTGACTGCATATTAATTATGAGAAATTGGGGTGACAATTTGCCAAAGCAATCATAGACATAATGTATCAATGTTAAAGAGATAATTTATTAATAATTAACAAATAGGTTATTAATGTTTGGCCATCATTAGGAAACTGCATTTAAACCATTTATAGAAGATAAATAGATCATTTTACGCTGCCATGTTAGTTTAGCCTTAACGCTAACATCAGTGGACCAATGACGTGAATCTAGCCTTTATTTTTAATTTAACTTTATCTGTCATGTTGAACTTATCCTAAAATCAGTAGGCTTAATACCTTAATAGATAATCTATTTAACTTTTATAAATGGTTTAGATGTAGTTTATAAATTAATTTAACATTGGTAAATCTTTTTAACATTTAAAATAATGTTTATTGTAAAGTTTAACTGGAGAATAAGGTTTAGAGATACTTTTCAAAATAAAAGCTCTTTAAAAATGTGACTATTATAAAGGTTGTTTTACAGATCCCTAATACACTTTAAAGCCTAAAGCATTTGTGGCACCCTTAATATGGTGCAGGAGGGTATGCGTATAGCTTGCATCTCTAGTTTTACTCTTAGTTTCCTTTGAAAAGCTCTAAATCAACTTGTGCTGCAACATAAGTCTGTTCTGTTTCAGGTTTGTATTTATGTCTCTGACCTGAACTTTGGTGTCTCTCCTTAGGTTTTGGATGGCCTTCTTGCTCAGTATGGTACTGTAGAGAACGTGGAACAAGGTACAGAACCCTCCTCCTAGATCCTCACATGTCATATTTAGTTCATCCTTCTCCAACTGTTTGATACATGTGTGTCTTTTTAGCAAAACTCCAAACACCCAGACCTCCCAGTGAGTCACGACCCCCTGTGTGACTCCGCTTCCTCATTATCATCACCACACATCCATTATCTAAACATGCTGTTTCTGCATATAAATCAGTCTTTATCATCTCGTCTGTCTCTGTGTGTTAGAGTTTGACCCAGAGCCAGGAAAGTGCGAGGCTCTAAATAAGAAAGGTCTGCCCCCCTGGGCCTGTTAGACTCAGTGTACGGATTGAAGTGGGCAGACGAGGCGGAAATCCCGGAATAATGCGCCTGTGTCTTTGAGTTTTGGGATGCGGCGTTGTGGCACAGGAGGCGCCTGTGGTGAAGCTTCTGAACTCTGATGTTGTGTGTTGATAATTTTTCTCTCTGTACATAGATCCATGAGCAGACATGAGATGGGGGTGGGGGGGGTAGACACAAAAAAATGCAAGCTTGGAAAAAAAAAAAAAATCTTGGCACATATTTGCTGAAGGATTCTCTGTTTTCAAACAGCCAAGATGAGCTGCCGCCCACTGTTGTGATGACAGGTGCTAAAAGGCAACCCAGCAGAGAAATTATTTTACGCTTAAAGTTTTGAAAACAGTTTGCTCCAATCTCTACACGACACCAAGGGAATTTCCTCCTCTGTTTGGCACTTCAGACATCACCGGTTACTATGAATAACCCGTCTGAGCCACCTCGTCTTCTTATTGTTCCACTTTTCCTGCATAATGCCACTTCTTCCTGCTTCAGTTCCTGCACTCTGGTTACAGTTTTCTGGAACAGTCCCATATGTGCGTAGTAGCGGGACAGAGCTGGCTGTGAGAGCGAGAATAGTGCCAAGCTCTGTCTTTGTTTCCTCTCTCTCTCTCAGGTGGGCATTTAACCTATCCAGAGTCAAATTTGACCAACTCACAATGTTCCCCCCTTTTATGATGTTGGCTCTTTGCTGGCCTTATTTTCATGTGCTTTGGTAATTGGCCTTACAATTACGTCTGTTTGAGGGGATCATTTAAGCACTGAGGGGATTTGTCAGCATGACCCGGTAGCTGTTGTTTTTGCTAATCAGAATATTGGCTGGTTGGATTTGTTTTGGCGCTGGTTGGTTCTGGTCAAGCTAAAAATTTGGGCAGGTGCATTTCTAAAAAAAGAAAATAAACTCTAATGTTACAAAAGACAGATTATTGTTACCTCACAACATAACAAAATATTTTAAAAATGTTTTAAAGTGCTGCACTACTCAAGAGCTTTCAATCATCCCTGATTGTTTATCGCATACAGACTTCCTAAGACCTTATCTTTTAATATGATCAAATCAATAATTCTTAAGAGTTTTTGAAGGTGGATGGACTTTTATTCCACTATTTCCACTATTTTTATTCCACTATTTTACTTTTTTTCTATTTACTGTTTTAGATGTAGTATATGTTCAGGAATAATAAGTCTGCTAAATTCAGGTGAAGAACCAGTTTTGTTTCAGCACATTGCTGACAATTGAACACATAAGTTTTAAACTGTTTTTTTTTTCGCCCTCTATTGCAAAGGTCAGGAAAGAAAAAAAAGAAAAAAAAACACAGAAAACTGTGAATTTTTTAGTTAATTTAAAAAAATACCAATGGTGATTTGTTTTGCTGGGATAGGGAAAAACCGTTTCTCGATTAGAAAGGTGGTTTCAAGACATCTTCAGATTTCTTTACCATCCTCGAGTTCAGGTTATCTGAACAGTTAGATTATTGCTTTAATTGTAATTCAATTCAAATGCATTTTTAAAATCCGTTATTAATCCCAAAGGGAAACCAAATGTAGAAAATAAATACATGCTTGCAGGTTTAGATTAGGAGCTGTTGTCTTGTAACCCTTTTCCCTAATTATGAAAATCAAGACAGACCTCCTGTACCTGCTCTGCATGTATTTTTTATCTTTTATGGTTTGAAATGTATTAATTATATTATTCAGATCCAGTGGTAAAGTAAAAAACTGGATTCCAATTCAAGAGATGTATTTATCTATTGTCTGCCTTAGAGGATTTATTTTGTAAACTGTCGGAATTATATAGAGCAATTATATAAAGGATAGTACAATAATATAAAGTATAGTACATTTTAATAAATTCATTAAAAAATTTAATATTTTTTGAAAATAATTTCCTGTATTGTCAATTAACAAGATGATGGCAATTGATTCAAATGTTGTACTGCCTAATGATTCATTTATAAATCATATGTTTCCTCTCTTTAATGTAAGTTGTAGTTGGTTTACAGGACGCAAATATGATGCATATAGAATTGCTTTGAAAACTCTGTGTTCTCTTGTCTTTCCTTTCTCCAAGACTGGCTAAGATATATAGATCATATTGTTCAGCGCAAACTAAGTCTATGATGCTTTAATAAAAGTTCCAATGCTAGACTATGACCAACCTAAAACTATAAAGTATGAATAGTTTCAGCTTCCTTGTATTTAAATAAACTTTTAGCAGTGCCACTAATTTTTTTTCTTATTTGGAATTCATTTAAACTGTTTAAATTAGTCCACTTAAGAGCTGGATTTAGTAACAGAAGATTAAGCTTCTGTTACTACAAGATGAATTTAATTTCAGCCATGTGGTCAATATAGGAAGGTGCTTTACTGTTGCTTTATTATAGTTTTTGTTTTGACCAAGTTGTCTTTATTTTTAATGAGAACTGCAGAATATTATTGAATGAGTGGGTTTTAGGGCTGCTCAAGAAAAGAAAACAGCCGAAGGCAAGCCTTACTTTAAATAAGAAGTAAAATAAGTGTGGGAAACTTTGACAGAGCCTATTTTAAATTAATAGATGCCCAATATACCAGGGGCTATCACATATTTTAGCTGCAGATTTAATAGTTAAGCTTTAAACTCAGATTTTTGTCCCTCTTGAAGCAATTTTCATAATCAGCTCATCACCCAGACTGATCACCTGATTAAGGTGATGGTGTTGTTTGTCGCTGCATGTAAGGGATTCTCTAATTAGTGCCTGTCTCTGCATCAGACCTTGCGTTATCTCAGTGTGATTCACTCTGTGCTGCTCCGTCTTTACAGACAAATGCTCGACCACCTATGTACACCAAGGTGTGTCTCTATTGTGCTCTTCATTTGCTTTAATCGGCCATTATTTGCTTTGTTCAGGCTGTTATGTTGGACTCAGATCCGTTTTGGTGAAAGTGACAGCGAGGCCTTTGTGTTAAGCAGCTTCGTTATGTAGTGGAAGCAGCAGGGTTTGGAGAGAAGCCAGCATGGTGATGGCTGTAATGGATTCACACAGACAAGCAGCTTTCTGGGTCGCCACGGGAACCTGGACGCGTGTCCGACTCACCTACAGAAACAACAAAGGCCTGATATGTGCATGTGTACTCCTTTGTTTATTGTATCTCATGTTTTTTCCTCTCTCTCTTTTCTTGTCTTGTCCCACAGTGAACACTGACACAGAAACAGCAGTGGTGAATGTTACATACGCAACTAAGGAGGAAGCTAAAGTGTAAGGAGCTCGAATAATGTACTATATGAGCCGAGCACCATGTGTAACACTGATGTACAGATTAAACCAGAGCATTTGTCCATTGATCCAGCTGCATTTTCTCAGTTTAACTAACGGATCTTTAATTGTAAT